GTAAGAATCTTTTCATTATAAATTTGTAAACCATTGTAATAATTATTTATCATTATTCATTTCATTTTTTTTTAGGAAATAAAGAATTTTCTGCATTATCGATTTTGATTTGAGGGTTATTCCTTGTCTATCTGTTCAACGTCAGAATCTTGTTCCTTAGCGACAACAACAATATATGATCCCGCTTGCCCCCCCCCCATCCCATATTTTTCATAACAATTTATAACTTAAATACCCTTCCCTCAATGTCCCTTCCTACACAGAATAGATTTTCAAAGATTTGAAAACAATTAAAATACAAAAGACAAGAAAAAAAGCGTACTTTAGTATATTGCTTAACCCTGAACCCTGTGGAGAGGGGGAGGGTGATTGGCGCCTCATTTTTACATTTATTTTGAAAATCTCTATCATATTCAAAAGTCATTAAAAGCATGTCTTCATCTCTCAATGTAAAGGAACATTGGCTTCCTCCATACTAGATATAAAGAAACTGTTTATATAAATCAACACTAAATACAGTGGCTTTAATTTGACTTATTTCACAAATGCGCCATGAGACATATTAATCTCTCTGAAGAGGATGATTCAATTAATGTATTGTCCATCACTCTTTGGTCTTTACGTAAACTATACGGCTGCCTGCAAATAGTTTTACAAGAATTCATGCGAAACAAGAAAGAAAAACACGGACAGTAGTTAAAACAACAAATATTTATAATAATGTAGAAAAAAAGTTGTTAAAAAATTCTTTACCTCGTCTCTTGCTGTACAAGGAACTGTATCTGGGACAACAAACTGTACATTACAGTAATAGATTTATGTACATTCATAAATATAAAGATAGATAGATAGATAGATAGATAGATATATCAATAAATAGATCGATAGATAGATAGATAGATAGATGGATAGATCGATAGATAGATCGATTTATAGATCGATAGATAGATCGATAGATAGATCGATAGAAAGATCGATAGATAGATCGATCGATAGATAGATAGATAGATAGATAGATAGATAGATAGATAGATAGATAGATAGATAGATAGATAGATAGATAGATAGATAGATAGATAGATAGATAGATCTATTTTTTCCTTAGTTCTCCTCTCCATGTTAGAAGCTTAATAGTTCACATTTTCTTAATTTGAATTTTCTTAAATATATTTCATTTAACTTTTTTTTATCTTGTTGGTTTTCTTAGACTTTCCTTTATGCCTTGAAAGGGTCTGTTCACTTTTTTTGGTGACCCTTCTCTTACAATTAATGCCCAAACAAAAAACGGTACGCTTATAAAACCTTGGACGAATAAAAAATAATGGAGATATTCTTGTTTCTCTATCTGAAAGTTGATAATTTTTTTAAAAAGTGAATTGAGGATATTTTTAGCAGGTATTGTAAATAGATTATCAAGTACAATAGGTAGCAACAGAGAAATGAACAAATTACAGTGTTAAATATAACAAGGAAAACGAAATTTCTCTCATTAGTTGACATGTTTTCCAAGATTAAATAAAAAAGTGTAAAAACAGAAACCAAAGAACACATAAAATTGCACTTTTTTACTGTCAGATAAGCCCTTTTATTCTAAAATTATCGCTATTATTAATAATGTTGTCGGACACACAAACTGAATTGACACTTGTGACGTCAGAATACAGGTGTAATGAGAGTGTAGAAATTCTACGTTGCCATCTATTGTAATAGAATCTATTTGAGGTATTGATCAGATTCTTTAACTCAAGAAACAACGTGAGAGTTTGAGTGAGTGAGTGAATAAATTAATGAGAGAGTGAGTGAGTTACTAGGTGAATGAGTGAGTTACTTGGTGAGTGAGTGAGTTATTTGGTGAGTGAGTTACTAGGTGAGTGAGTGAGTTATTAGGTGAGTGAGTGAGTTATTAGGTGAGTGTTTACTAGGTGAGTGAGTGAGTTATTAGGTGAGTGAGTGAGATGGTGAGTGTATGTAAAATTGTGTGTGTTCCTCATAAGATGATATGTGTTCAACTGAAGAAAGAATGAGAGCAACTTGTTGGATCCAGTTCACAATATAGTCCTCCCCTTTCTCACCTTTATATTCCCTCCCATCCTCCCTCTTTAACTTATCATATTTAAAAAGTCATAAATACAGAGAATGGTAAGAATGGTATTGGATCTAAATTAAACCTTTTATTTTAAAAGTTTTAAGAAAATTCCTCTCCTGGGAAATTATCAAAATGAATTATGTTTTTACTCTGTCCTTTTCTCTACAGAAAAATAATCGGCAAAACCATGATAGATTATCGGTAGACGTAACTTTTTAATAAAGCTATTCGCTCCAACATATGTGTATAACTATATAGCTGACCAAACATATGTGTATAACTATATAGCAAACCAAACATATGTGTATAACTATATAGCTGACCAAACATATGTGTATAACTATATAGCTGACCAAACATATGTGTAACTATATAGCTGACCAAACATATGTGTATAACTATATAGCTGACCAAACGGCTGGAACAAAGAAGCTGATTTTGTTTAACATAGGCTAAACAAAATTTCTTTCATTCCCGAAGTTTTTATTTTCCACGGACAACGCCGGGCACTTCAACTAGTTCATTTTAGAAATAATTCCACATGCCGTAAAACCTTCCTCCTGTTGGTACCATACGGAAAGCACAAACGCAATAACCATACGGAACACTAAGCTTAACATATGGAATGCGCAACTGCAATAACCATACGGAACACTAAGTAACATATGGAATGCGCAAATGCAATAACCATACAAACACTTGGCAACATATGGAATGCGCATCTGCAATAACCATACGGAACACTTGGCAACTAAATATACACATAAACTTCTTCCTGCATCTTTTGAAAATATTTTAAAAAGCTTGGAAACTTTGAAAGATCTCTATACTATCAACTTGACATTCTCAAAATGTGCTCATTACAGTATTTACCATCAAGCTCTCTTCTTAAGATGTGGAATAACCTGCCTCTTGACTTAAAAAGATGCAACTCTCTAAGTATATTTAAAAATAGACTAATAAATTCTCTTTTTGAAAATTACATGACAATGTGTTATAAACCGAATTGCTATTCATGTAAACCAAATTAGATATGTTTTAATATGCTTTGATATTTGTTGTATACATGTCAGAAAATGACTTTAAACTCTAGTTATTCGAATTAATGTATAAACTATTTTGCATAAGATAAATTCGCACCCTGATCTCTAATCGTTCTCCTTAAATCTATTTAATTGAAATGTTTTGTTATTATTATTAAAATTAGGTGGAAAAAATAATCAAAACAGCCAAGAGCTATTTTCCACCTAATTGCTTTGTACTTGTACTGTTATATAATCATCAATTTGTAATTGTAAACTCGTTCTGTAAACACAGATACATGTATTTTAGCTATAAACTTTATCTTATCTTATCTTATCAGTTCTAACATATGGAATGCGCAACTGCAATAACCATATGGAACACTTGGTAACATATCGAATGCACAACTACAATAACCATACAAACACTTGGCAACATATGGAATGCGCAACTGCAATAACCATACGGAACACTAAGAAACATATGGAATGCGCAAATGCAATAACCATACAAACACTTGGCAACATATGGAATGCGCAAATGCAATAACCATACAAACACTTGGCAACATATGGAATGCGCAATTGTAATAACTATACAGAACACTTGGCAACATATGGAATGCACAACCCCCAATTTATTTCTTCAAAAATCAAGTTTTTCTGTTTAAATTTGTGTTTTAAAATTCCAAAGGCAACGCTGGACACTTGAACTAATAATATATACGTACTGTAATCTAATAATTTATGATGATGGTAAAGCGGAGTTAAAGTTTATAGTTAAGATAAGAAAAAAATTAAATTATATGATTTAACAGAAGCCAAATTGTGGCCCCTAAGTTTTCCACTTGTGTCTAAACAGAAATGTTTAAGATTTATAATTTTTTTTTTTATTGATGGGTTCTCTTTGCAGACTTTTGCAGCAGAAATTGACATTTTTTAATAAATGTACATGGTTTGACAAAATGTATAGAATAACATTTTCTACTGATTTTATATAAAAAATATGTTATCGCTTTTTGCAAGATTTAAATTTTTCTTGTTGTGGGGGGGGGGGGTGGAGCAAAGTAATCAATAAGATTAAGATAATAATTTGTTTGTTTATTTTTATAAAAATCAGCTTCTAGTAAATATACAGTTGGTCTTATCTTCTTGTACCGACAACAACTTCAATTTTTTTTTTACATATTTGTAAAATTAAACTTTTTTTATAGAAAAAAACATGGTTGGCAGATTTCTTGGTTTTATTTACCTTATATTATTTGTAATAGGTAACTTCAATTTACAACTGTTCCCTAAAAACCACCATTTGAGTTAAAATGTGCAAAACTCTTCAAGCATATCATTTAAAAAAACTAAAATGAACGAAAATTTTTTTTTGTTTTCCTTTTCCAGAGTTGAACGCCAGGCCGAATCTGAAATCAACTACTGAGAATAAGGTAATTATTTTGCGAATATATTTGGTTAATATGGGAGATATCATGATCAATTATGAAATATCTAAAATTTCACATTTCAATGTTACCCACAAAGGAAGAGACTTCAGAGACGAGAGACGACTGTACGAATTTGGTCGGACTAATAAATCTGGTCTCGTCACCGTTACATTACATACAGTTATCGTAACTTTGAATATGTGATCTAAAAGCGTTCATAGTATTAAATATTACAGGTCTACGGCATCGGATTTGAAAATAGAAAATCAAAGTTTGTAGCAAAGACTTATCATTTATGTTCATGCAAAGAATATAACTTGATTAAAGTTTACAACAAATATACTCGTTATTCAAGTTTAACTGTAATTGACAACATTGTTCTGCAATTTCCTTGACTGCAGTCATGTTGTGTGTCTGTACAAAAAGAGTGTGTGTTAGTTTAAAGTACTGGTCTACAAAGCAGTGCGATTGGCTTTCTCATGCCAGACCAGTGCCATTTCCTTTCCCTTTATTCCTATTCCCTGGTTGCAAGTAGCTACCCCTCTACTAATTATTAAACAAATATCTCAGGTTTCAGAGAAACTCTTCCACCAAAAAGCTGGGATAACAAAATGTGAATGTTTAAGGGACTGTAAGCGTATTTTGACGTGGTTCCACATTCAATGAGATATATTTTAAAGGATATCTCTATCTATAACGAAACTATTTAGGTTTTATTAAAGAATATCTCTATCTGTAACATAACTCAGGTTTCAATAAGCGTGATTCTATTTGTAACATTACTCTTCAGGTTTATTAAAGAATATCTCAATCTGTAACGTAACTATTCAGTTTTATTAAAGAATATCTCTATATGTAACATAACTAGGCATGCTTCATTAAAGGATATCTCTATCTGTGACGTAACTATTCAGGTTTATTAAAGAATATCTCAATCTCTAACGTAACTATTCAGGTTTATTAAAGAATATCTCTATCTGTGACGTAACTATTCAGGTTTATTAAAGGATATCTCTATCTGTATCGTAACTATTCAGGTTTATTAAAGAATATCTGAATCTGTAACGTCACTATTTATTAAAGGATACCGTTAAGGTAACGTAACTATGCAGATTTATTAAACGTAACTTTTATTAAAGGATACCGCTAAGGTAACGTAACTATCCAGGTTTCATTAAAGAATATCTCCATCTGTAACTCAGGTTTCAATAAAGAATATCTCTATCTGTAACGTAACAATTCAGGTTTATTAAAAGATTCGGTAACTGTAACGTAACTATACAGGCTTCCTTATAGCATATCTCTATCTGTAACGTAACTATGCAGGTTTCATTAAAGGATATCCCTGGTTGGAATAAATGATTTTATCTGAAACCTTTTTGTCAATAATTGATAGATCCCTCATTGCTCAAATATCTGATTAATACCTTTTATACTGATTACATTACTAGAAGGGAGAAGACCATGCCAAGTATAAGGCTGTAAAGGGACCAGTCACTTATTTTAAAGTTATTCTTCATTTATTGATGAGATAGGTCGATTAACACTGGTACCCTTTAAACAATAGTAATAAGTTATCCTAACTTTGCCACAATATGAAACAAATTTTAATTCCGGTTTCTTCTGTCTTATTATCCGGATAGAGGTTTCAAGGGTACCATTGTGAATCTTTAAACAGAGGATCACATCTATAGTTTCTTTAGTGACGACGGTCTAAAACTCTCTTATATTTTCTTAAAGGGACTGACCGGCTATGTATGGTAGTTGAACTTGGAATGTAGTATATTGGAGTAATTTTTTAGGATTTAATTGAGTCTCATAAAACGTTTTAATGATGTATAATTTCTGAGTTTGAGCGCAAAGTCGACGTTCAAAATCATGCATTTGGGTGGTTATGTTTTGAGAATCGATTTTTAAAAAATTATTAAATAATGACGACGAAAAATGTAACAAAAAGTCTACAGTAAAGTAATTAGTTGCTCAGGAACAAAATGTATCAAAAATTTTACAATAGTCTAATTAGATGTTTGAACATATTTGTCAATAGAAATTTATCAATAAAATAATTTTAGAACCAATTATTTTTTTTTATCATTTTATTGAATTTCTTATTCTTTACTAGTTTGTTCACATATTTCTACAAATTCTTCAAATGTCGTCTTTTCAATAAAAGTTCCAGAAAATCTACAGAAAATGTTTGTGAACAATGAGAGAATATACAACTTGTTCCTGAACAACTAAATAGTTTACTGTAGACTTTTTGTTACATTTTTTGTCGTCGTTATTTAAAATTTAAAAAAGATCAATTCTCAAAACGTAACCACCCAAATGGATATTTTTGAAGGTCGACTTTGCGCTCAAACTTAGTAAATATACATAATTAAAACGTTTTATATGTCTCAAATGAATCCTAAAATACTACATTCTCCGTTCAACTACTATACATTGCGTTTAAGCCCAAGCTATAGCCAAAATATGCAAAATAATTTAAAGAATTATGGCCGAATATATTTTGTAAAGTCGTCTCTGAAGTCTAATTTTTTTGTGTTGGTAACCTTGTAGAGTGTATATTACAACGAGAGTACTTGAAAGTAGAGCTGCAAGATTGGTATAGGTTTTGATTTTCGATTTCAAGCCAAACCAAAGATAGTTGCTCTCTAATTTTAAAATCACAAATTATTCTTGATCATTTGCGTCATGGAGCAAATAGTTAAAATGCTAGTTTATTTTCTAAGAGGACTTATTTTTTTTAGAAAATATAGTCTCTTTTCTAATATTTATTTTGCATTTTTAAGAGATATAATTGATAATATTATTGCATATAGTCCGTTTAACGTCACCAGAACTTCAGCCAATGGCAGTGCAGTATACTGGTCACGTGATTTTCGTCTGTATCACGTTACAATAATATTGCACTGCCTTTGGCTGAAGGTTTGGTGACGTAATATGGACTATGTTGAATCTATGTAATTATATAATCAATTATATCTATTAAAAATGCAAAATAAAAATTAAAAAATTATAATAGGAGCAAACCTGAGATTCTCAGGCTCCTGTGGGATATATTCGTTTTTAGATTGGTTGCATATTTGCTGAATACGATCTATTTAAACCTACTACTTTTTTACAAAACTGCATACATATGAATTTTCGTATAAATTTGACACAGTTTTATGTCAATTTCACGAGGCAGGAACATCAAATTGATGTCTTATATGTATTAATCAACGCCTGAGATTCTAAGGTTTCATCCTTTCCCACCTTTGATTTTCCCTTTACAGTCCCTTTAAGAACTGTAAGCGTTATTTCAAAGACCTACCATGCAAAGATGGCAATGTCATATTTACAACGATACCCTTAAAAGCTTTGTCTGAACAGATATGAAAAAGTTATTAATGTTTATAATTTTGGAAAACTTATTATTTTCAACTGTGGTTTCTGTACAAAAGTTACCTGCGCAGATTGGAATTATTTCCATTAAACATTTTTAAACCTAGAAAAATTACCATTTCTTCCACATTATTGATTAGATAAAGCTGTGTTTAAGGTGCCGTTGTGAATCGAGCATTGCCATTTTTAATGGAGGGTTACTTTAAATTACGCTTACAGTCCTTTTAATTGAGGAAAACTACCCGTGGACAGCTAGAATGAGGTTTATATTCTTCCAAGTTATAAATCCACTCGAGGTGATACCATTTCTTCAGTTTTAATTTACATCATAGCAGCATTAGTTTTCTTTTTTAGACACTATTTACATCATAGTAGTATCAGTTTTCTTTTTAAGACACTATTAACATCATAGTAGCATCAGTTTTCTTTTTTAGACACTATTAACATCATAGCAGCATCAGTTTTCTTTTTTAGACACTAATTACATCATAGTAGCATTAGTTTTCTTTTTTATACACTATTAACATCATAGTAGCATTAGTTTTCTTTTTTAGACACTATTTACATCATAGTAGCATTAGTTTTCTTGTTTAGACACTATTAACATCATAGTAGCATCAGTTTTCTTTTTTAGACACTATTTACATCATAGTAGGATTAGTTTTCTTGTTTTTGACATTTATTTACATCATAGAAGCATTAGTTTTCTTTTTTAGACACTATTTACATCATAATAGCATTAGTTTTTTTTTGACATTTATTTACATCATAGTAGCATCAGTTTTCTTTTTTAGACACTAATTCATCATAACAGCTTTAGTTTTCATCTTTATAGACACTATTTACATCAAAACAGCTTTAATTTTTATCATTAGACACAATTTACATCAAAACAGCTTTAGTTTTCATCTTTAGACACCATTGACATCGAAACGGCTTTAGTTTTCATCTTTATAGACACTATTTACATAATATCTGCTTTAGTTTTCATCTTTATAGACACTATTTACATAATATCTGCTTTAGTTTTTATCTTCAGACACTTTTTACACCATAACAACTTTAGTTTTCATCTTTAGACATTGTTTACATCAACACAGCTTTACTTTTCATCTTTATAGACGCTATTTACATTAAAAAAGCTTTAGTTTTCATCTTTATAGACACCATTTACTTAATATCTGCTTTAGTTTTCACCTTTAGACACTATTTACATCATTACTGCTTTAGTTTTCACCTTTAGACACTGTTTACATCATTACAGCTTTAGTTTTCATCTTTATCTTTAGACACTTTACATCAGCAGCTTTAGTGTTCAGCTTTAAATTCTATTTACATTAATTAAAAGCTTTAATTTTCATATTTAGACGCTATTTACATAAAAACAGCTTTAGTTTTCATATTTAGACACTATTTACATTATAACAACTTTAGTTTTCATCTTTAGACACTATTTACATTATAACAACTTTAGTTTTTATATTTAGAGGCTATTTACATTATAACAACTTTAATTTTCATATTTAGACGCTATTTACATAAAAACAGCTTTAGTTTTCATATTTAGACGCTATTTACATCATAACAACTTTAGTTTTCATCTTTAGACACTATTTACATCATAACAACTTTAGTTTTTATCTTCAGACGCTATTTACATCATAAAAGCTTTAGTTTTCATCTTTAGACACTATTTACATCATAAAAACTTTCGTTTTCATCTTTAGACACTATTTACATCAAATAATAGCTCTAGTTTTTAATCTCTAGACGCTATTTACATCATAAGAGCTTTAGTTTTATATTTAGACGCTATTTACATCATAACACCTTTAGTTTTATCTTCAGACGCTATTTACATCACAACAGCTTTAGTTTTCATCTTTAGACACTATTTACACCATAACAGCTTTAGTTTTTATCTTCTGACGCTATTTACATCAAAACAGCTTTAGTTTTTATCTTCTGACACTATTTACATCATAGCAGCTTTAGTTTTCATCTTTAGACACAATTTACATCAAATCATCTTTAGACACTATTCACATCAAATAATAGCTTTAGTTTTATCTCTAGACGCTATTTACATCATAACAGCTTTAGTGTTTATCTTTATCTTTAGACGCTATTTACATCATAACAACTTTAGTTTTTATCTTTAGACGCTATTTACATCATTAGACCTTTAGTTCTCATCTTTATCTTTAGACACTATTTACATCATAACAGCTTTAGTTTTTATCTTTATTTTTAGACACTTTTTACATCATTACACCTTTAGTTTTTATATTTAGACGCTATTTACATCATAACACCTTTAGTTTTTATATTTAGACTCTATTTACATCATAACAACTTTAGTTTTCATCTATAGACACTAATTCATCATAACAGCTTTAGTTTTCATCTTTAGACACTATTTACATCATAACAGCTTTAGTTTTCATCTTTAGACACTATTTACATCATAACAACTTTAGTTTTCATCTTTAGACGCTATTTACATCATAACAACTTTAGTTTTTATCTTCTGACACTATTTACATCATAGCAGCTTTAGTTTTCATCTTTAGACACAATTTACATCAAATCATCTTTAGACACTATTCACATCAAATAATAGCTTTAGTTTTATCTCTAGACGCTATTTACATCATAACAGCTTTAGTGTTTATCTTTATCTTTAGACNATTTAGACGCTCTATACATCATTACACCTTTAGTTTTTATATTTAGACGCTATTTACATCATTACACCTTTAGTTTTTATATTTAGACGCTCTATACATCATTACACCTTTAGTTTTTATATTTAGACGCTCTATACATCGTTACACCTTTAGTTTTTATATTTAGACGCTATTTACATCAAATAATAGCTCTAGTTTTCATCTCTAGACGCTATTATATACAACTTAGTGTTATGAAGGTGGTTACAGGGGTAGAGATGGCAAAATTTGAAGAAAGGGGTCCATACACGTATAGGGTAATTATGATAATTATGATAATAATAATAATTATGTATTTTTATAGATTTATAAGATCTAAAAAATCCGCAATTAAAACAATTAACAAAGCTGTACTGGCATTACCATATTAATTATACATTAATGATAATGCCACAACCTCAAATTATTCATCCGCATATCTTTGCAACCTGATGGTGTAAACCTTTGATATTTCAAACAGAATTCATGGTTGGAATCTAAGTTCTATGACGCCATAACAGGGTTTAGAAAATCAGAGTTTTAACTCTTTGGAACACCCTGTAAAGCTGTAACAGTTATGATACTTTTGTATAGTGAGAACTAGAAAACTCTGGAATAGCTTTTTGACTTTTAAAAGTCCAATGAACATGAGACAAGCAATTGTGCAGTGTATGCAGACTCAATTCATCTATTTACTGTCGGGGTAAAACTTATTTTTTTTTGTAAAAACTTCAAACAAGTATTGCCATAATGTCGTCTTCTTATTCCACAGTTTTCTGGTTCTTATTGTATGTATATTAACGCAGGAGGTTCTGGAGAAAAGAAACCAAGTCGAGGGGGACAGTACAGTACAATTTGAGCAGTACAGGTATACAAGGGTGGCTGTACAGTACAGTTTGAGCAGTACAGGTTTACTAGGGGGCAGTACAGTACAATTTGAGCAGTACAGGTATACAAGGGCGCAGTACAGTACAATTTGAGCAGTACAGGTATACAAGGGGGACAGTACAAAACAGTACAGTACATTTATTACATAGGTGACAATACTGTACACTGTACTGTACAGGTATACCAGGGGGACAGTACAGTACTAGTGAACCAGGGTTACAGTACAGTACAAGTACACTAGGGGGACAGTTAGGATTTCCAGCAAAAAGGAAAATCGTTTCGCGAAAATTTCGCAAAAAATGCAAAATTTTTGCGAAAATTCATCATTTTTTGAGAATACAATTCTCATATTCCGCGAAAATTTTCACGAACAAAATTTCGCTTTGTTTTCGCATTTTTCGCCTCATTTATTTTCGCGAAATAAATATGAACGAACATTTTCGCATTTTTTCGCCAGACGTTTCATTCGCTGAAAACCCAAAGCAGTCTAGGGAAACCAAGGAACAGTATAAGTATGAACATTGAACAGTACAGATAATATCAACTAATAAATATTTCAAATCGAAAACAATTTTTTTCTTTTTTATGACATTTTAAACTTTTTATTTAAAACTTTCAGGCAAAAAATAATTAACAGGAAAAGACTGAAACCATGAATATTTTTATATTTCAGACATTTTGAATTTGATGCTGCGCAAAGCTGTGAAGGTAAATTCCATTCTTATAATAAAAATAATTGGGGGACAGTACAGTACAATTTGAGCAGTACAGGTATACAAGGGGGACAGTACAGAACAGTACAGTACATTTATTATATAGGTGGCAATACTGTACACTGAACAGTACAGGTATACCAGGGGGACAGCACAGTACTAGTGAACCAGGGTTACAGTACAGTACTAGTACACTAGGAGGACAGTTAGGGTTTCTAGCGAAAAAGAAAAGTTTCGAGAAAATTTCGCATTTTTCTCATTTCGTTCGCTCGCGAAAAATGCGAAATTTTTCGCTATTTTTGCGAAATCTAGCTTCAATCTGTTTCGCAAAAAAGTGCTAAAGTTTATTAACAAATTTTTTAAGGGAAATGAAAAATTTCGCTTTGTTTTCGCATTTTTCGCTACAATTATTTTCGCGATAAAATGCGAAATTTCACGAAAAAGTTTGCGAAATACGAACGAACATTTTCGCATTTTTTCGCGAAACGCTTCGTTAGCTGGAAACCCTAGGGACAATACTCTGCAATTTAAGCAGTACAGGAAATTCAAGGAACAGTACATTGAACAGTACAGAAAATATCAACTGATAAATAATTCAAATTGTAAACAATTTAGATCTTTTTTATGACATTTAGAACTTTTTCTTTAAATCTTTCAGACAAAAAAATAATTAACAGGAAAAAACTGAAATCATTCGAATATTTTTATATTTCAGACATTTTGAATTTGATGCTGCGCAAAGCTGTGAAGGTAATTTAAATTCAATTCTTATAATATAAATAATATATAATATTTTTCACAGTTAATGAAATTCTAATTAAAAAGAGACTACGGACGTAATTTCAAGTTATCACGTATTTACAAATATTTCAGAGAGTACTGCGTCCGTCCTAGTTGTAGCCAAATCTTAATTACCGTGCATTTGGCTTCAAAATACCCCTCATAGGATTTTTATAATTCGGTGTTTAAAAACATCTCAACACCATTAAAAGCTTTCTCTGACCAAATGAGTTAGATATTACGTTTATAATTATGAAATTATTTTCATTTGTGGTTTTTCTACAAAAGTGACTTGCGCTTTGCTACTGCAGGAAAACATTTAGGAATTATCGTAATTAAACACTTTTAAAACTACAGTGATAACCAGAAAACTCTGGAATTGGATGTAGACTTTTAAACTCAATTTATGACTTTAAATAGTTCAATGAACAATTGTGCAGTGTAAACAGACCCATTTCACTTAATAATTGATTTAACAACTTACTAGTAAAGCTGTTTGCTTTTAAACAACATCAAATGCACTACAAAGTATTGCATCAATGTCGTCTTCCATTTCTACAATCTTCTGGTTATTACTGTAGAAAAACATAATTATTAAGATAAAGATTTCTTAAGTGTACCGTTGTGAATCGGGCGTTGCCATCTCTGCTTGGAGGGTCACTTAAAATTACGCTTACAGTCCCTTTAATTAATTGCATATAAACAATTCTAAGAATTACTGGATCAACAAAGATAAGAAATTATAAGTATATAAACATAATGATGAAACATTTTAGGATCAATATATTAATAAATAGTAAACATTTTAGGGTCAATATATTAATAAATAGTAAACATTTTAGGATCAATATATTAATAAATAGTAAACATTTTAGGATCAATATATAAATACATAATACACCTTAAATAGTAAACATTTTAGGGTCAATATATAAATACATAATACACCTTAAATAGTAAGCATTTTAGGGTCAATATATAAATACATAATACACCTTAAATAGGAAACATTTTAGGGTCAATATATTAATACATAATACACCTTAAATAGTAAACAGTTTAGGGACAATATATAAATGCATAATACACCTTAAATAGTAAACATTTTAGGGTCAATATATAAATACCTAATACACCTTTTAGTTTCAATATATTAATAAATAATAAATATTTTAGGAACAATATATAAATACATAATACACCTTTAATAGTAAACATTTTAGGGTCAATATATTAATACATAATACACCTTAAATTGTAAAGCATTCTAGGGACATCTACTCCATGGAAAGACACACCTGAGCTCGAAATTTAAAACAGAGTATCGTCAAAAACCGGGTTTTATATATTTAATATTTTCGTTACAACATTTTATTTTATTTGGTTTCTTTAAACTCTCAATTTTTTTTTATAATTTCTTAAATAAAAATCAACACGAATGTTTAGACCCCAAAAGGAAATTCAGGAGTTTCGATCAATAGAACTCTTTTAAATTTCGGGCTCCGAGCTCGAAATTTAAGACAGAGTATCGTCATGAAACCCGGTTTCGAAACCCAGGTTTTGCGAAGAGGTTGAGACAATTTTGTAGATATAAATTTTTTGTTTTGAGTCATTATTTTTTATATATAACCTTTTCATTTACTAATTCTTACACTAATATCTACACAAATGTAATGACCCCAAAAACGGGAGCTCGGGACTCGGGAGTTACATTCCACGATACTCTCTTTGCAAAAGCCCATATAGTATATTTAAAAATACCAGTTGTTAATAATATATTATTTGCTCTACTTAATATGGTAAAAATATATTAAGGCTTAATCTGGGTTCAGATATAGTTCATCAGATCATAGAAGCATTAAACTATTTTTCGCAAAATGAAATTGTAGAAACCGTCTCCGCCAGACCCCCTCCTAACTATGGGGAACCGGTTTGTTTCAGCTATAGCTAGAGCTTGGCTTTTTGTCTCTCGAATTCTCTTTACAGAAAATCCATATATAATTAAAAATAGTACCAATTAATTCCTTGTTTAATTAGTATATGAAACCTTTGTAAAGACCGAAAAAAACTTTTTTTTTCAACATTTTGTTTTCAGGATGTTTGAAAACTGATACTGTGAGAATTCTCAATCAACCTTTGATCGGAGCTGTCGCCGGAGCAATGGGGAAGTTTGAAAAAATAAAAAAAAATATTTTAAAAAACTAAATTTTTAAGATAATATTAAAAAAAAATTTTTTTTTAACTTCTTGCTAACAGCTCAAGGAGGTGGACTTGTTTCGGTAAGTTAAAATTTTGATTTAAAAAGTATTTCAAAATTTAATTGAAAATGATTTCAATTTTTAATTTAAAATTATTGTATCGATTTTTAAACTTTTTTTCAAAGTATAAAATGTAACATAGACGGTTTTTGTATCTTTTGTGCCTTTAATTGTGCATTTTAAGAAGTACATATTAAGAGTTTAAAATGTGCAATTTAATTTCAAAATAAACATTCTTAATGTACATAGATTATAAAATGAATATTCTATTTTAACGTACATATTTTAATATAAATTGTTCATTCTACATTTTTATTAATAATCATCTAAATGATTATTACTTTCTTTAATTAATGTCTCCAAAGGGACTGTAAGCGTAATTTCCAGTGACCCCCTGCACGGTATAACAACAGTACAATGGTACAATGTTTATAATTTTGAAAACTGATTATTTTAAAATGTGGTTTCTTGACGAAAGTGTTGTACAGAAAAATATAGGAATTATCAGAATTAAACACTTTTAAAGCTAGAAAGACAGCAATATCTTCCACATTATTGATCAGATAAATGGTTTAAGTGTATCGTTGTCATCTTTGCATGGAGGGTCACTTGAAATTAAGCTCACACTCCCGGATTAAAAGTGGTGTACACTCCCTTTCTTGGTACAGGGAATAGCCCTGGGTATATTGGCTGGAGCAATACAGAATACAGCGGATTCTCCAGATCTGTTCCTAGTTGACTCAGTGGATAATATTCTTTTCGCAGGTTATTGTCACTTTACTTCGCAGGTTTCATTCCCTTTTTATTCGAAGGTAATACTCCCTTTCTTAGCAGGTTTTCCTCTCTATTCTTTGCAGGTTATACTCCCTTTTTTTGCAGGATTATACTCCTTCGTTTTAGCAGGTTTTACTCCCTTTTTTAAGGTTATACTTATTTCCGCATGTTATTATGTAGATAAGCATGGAAATATTCAAATTTTGTTTAACAGACCCTTTAAACTGAAATAATATTTGATTCAATAATATTTGAGTCCCTTTAACAGTTTAGTGAGATTAGATTATCCTGTAAATATTCCTCCTAATCTCTGCTTGGTAAATAATATTGGATTTTGATAAAAGTTTAGTTTGTTCAACCTTTAACATTAAACACTGACCAAACTCAGCATACAGGGTTGCCCACAAAGGATGAGACTTCAGAGCCCGAAATTGAAGACAGAGTATCGTAATGAAACCCTGTTTCGGAATTCCGGTTTCGAAAACCTGGTTTCGGAAACCCAGTTTGGGAAACCAGGTTTCGGAAACCCGTTATCGGAAACCTGGTTTTATGCAGGCAGTTTTGTCACTCCTGTATGCCAAGTCCATTAGCGCCTGATCCAATCAGGGTTCAGTCTCGTGTTTGTTGTCTATTCTGAACCAATAGAATAAGTATGGCGGTAACATCTATCTTTCTATCTATCTCATTATCCAATTAGAGTTATGAATCCTTCAATCGACGCTATCAGTAAATGGAAACATTTACTGCTACTGAAACTAGAGTTTTGTTCAGATACCAATATTTTTGTAAAGAAATATTCTTTTCTGTTGTTTCTTAACATTTTCTTCTTGTTTTCTGATTTCTTAAATTAAAATCTACGCAAATGTAAAAACACCAAAAAGGAAACTCGGGAGTTTCGTTTAACAATACTCTCTTAAGTTTCCTGTTCAGAGACGACTGTAGTAAATTTATACTGTGTGTTTTCTAATATTTATGACTTTCTGTAACATCAAACTTGTTTTTTTCACTAAATAATAACTACCTAATAATTTTTACTATAGTTTCAGTAGAAGTAAATATTTCCATTTACTGTTATAGCGCCGATATAAGGATTTATCTCTAATTGGATAATGAAATAGATAGAAAGATAGATGTTACCAAGGTTGTAATGCAAGGAAAGTTATTTCAGAGGTGTACGCATCTTTTGTACTGCAGTGTACTGTCTCTGGGCGGTAATGTAAACACAAGACGGATTTCGAAGACTGACATGGGATCCATCTTTCAAATAAAAAATCAATGAAATATTCTGGTCATAGCAAACTATTATGTGAATTATCAAATTATCAAAATGTAATGCTTTAATCTCGTCGGAGTACGCAGAGTATACACAATTGCAATTAACTTTCCTTGCATTATAACCTTGGATGTTACCGTCATTCAATTTTAATTGGTTTAGAATAGACACCAAACACATGACTGAACCCTGATTGTATCAAGCGCTATTGGACTCGGCATACAGATGTGTTCAAGAGGACGACAATAAACAAGTTGTTCTGTTGTATTCTTAATTACGGGATACACTAGATGTACATTGTACAAGGATGCAGATAGAACTTTGATGTCTTTAAGTTCTTATTTCCAATCCATATGTGTAAAAACATGTTTTAAAGGGACTGTAAGCGTAATTTCAAGTGACCATCCATGCACAGCTTGCAATGCCGATTCACAACAATATCCTTAAAAGCTTTGTCTGATCAAGTAGGAATAAGATATCATTGTTTGAAAATTGATTTTTAATAATATACAATAATATTTGTATTATTATATAATTTACAAGCTGAAAGGCCCGGAATTGCCCCTCGAAACAAAAAAACTTTAAATTTTTTAGCCTAAAAAATGTCAGCCCATTCGATCCAGCCCTTTGGCTGGGGTATTGGTGACATATAAACTATATAAAAATGTCTTATTTTATAGATAATAATGATTACAAAAATAACTTGTGCATTTCCACTTTTTTCTTTAGGAGTAAACAATGAGCTAGTTCAGGAGTTACTCACAAACAGCCTTTTGAGTAAGTACAAAATGAGAATTAAGAACCCGCCAACAAATAGGTTTACAAAATATTTCAAAAGTTTGATTTTTAAAAATCTTTTAAATGTCCAGAATTTAAAAGCCATAGAAAAAAATCTACCTGTTTCCTTTAAAACAAGATTTTTCATAATTTTTTACAGATTTTTTTTTATTGTTTTCTTAGAAATCATTACGCTGAGATATTTAAACATGTGATTTAATGTAAATAAAGATTATCTTTTTAATATTATTTTTTCTTAAAATATTTCTCATTGTTTAATAATGTTTGTAAATAAAAATTCTCATGACATCAGCAATCTTTTTAGTTTACTAAATAGTCCAACAAATATTAGCAAAATCCTAGTCCTCCTAGTCCTCCTAGTCCTCCAAGTCCTCCTAGTCTTCCTAGTCCTCCTAGTCCTCCTAGTCCTCCTAGTCCTCCTAGTCCTCCTAGTCCTCCTAGTCATAAAATAGGAACTTCTTTTTTATTAAGATATAACATTTTTAGCAAGGTTGGGAACTCAGCGTTGCCCATTTTGCTAAAAGTTACTCCCGCCGTTTACCCGCACTTTTAACCGGGAAACTAAATTTTCGCTATTAAAGTCGACCCTTTCAACTAAGAATCTTTTAAACACTCTAGGAACCTTTTCGTGGGTCTCATGAGTTCCCCAATCAAAATTTGGGGCAAATCGGTCCAGGAGCAGAGTTATGATCGGACAAACAAACAGACAAGCAAAGATTACAATAATTGATCATGAATTCGAACAAATGATCGTAATTTCGAACAAATGATCGTAATTTCGAACAAAAGATCGTAATTTCGAACAAAATGTTTGATTTAAAAAAAATAATTTTTTCATTTGCGTTTTCAGAAAACAAACTCCCGCCTGCTATACAAGACAATGGGTTTGCGATCTTTAATACCAAGGTAGGTATTTAAAGTAGTCATAATGTCGTCTTAATAAAACACAACATATACAGGAGGGGGGGGGGAGCTTGGGGAAGGGGGACTATATACAATCGTTAGTTGCAGTCACTAAGTATAAAGCAACCCTGAAAGTTCAATTCTAATAATTATAATTAACAAATATTATAAAATGTCTGTAATTTCTGAATGCTCTAAGGTTCTTATAAATTATTGAGAATTTTTCTAACAGTGCATATACAGGGTTATCCACAAAGGATGAGACTTCAGAGACGACTGTACAGAATTTATACCGCCTGTTTCCTTATAGTAATGGTTCTCTGCAACTAAATCTTGTTTCTTTCTTTGCCCAATCGTAAAAAAATGCCCAATAAAAACATTTAAGGCAATAAACTTTATTTAACCTTGGAAACGCCATATTCAAAGAGTTTTAGAACGTCTTTACAGTCTCATTCTTTGTGGGTAACCCTGTACGATATCAAGAATTATCATTTTTGTTTTCATTTCAAATGCCAAGTCCATTAGCTCCGGATCCAATCAGGGTTCAGTCATGTGTTAATTGTCTATTCTGAACCAATAGAAATAGTATGGCGGTAACATCTATCTTTCTATCACATCATTATCCAATCAGAGTTATAAATCCTTCAATCGACGCTATCAGTAAATGGAAATATTTACTGCTACTTAAACTATAGTGGTCAACAGACTTATCTTTAACTGTGGTGATTAATACCTTACTTAAACTATAGTGGTCAACGGACTTATCTTTAACTATTAATACCTTACTTAAACTATAGTGGTCAACGGACTTATCTTTAACTGAAGTGATTAATACCTTACTTAAAATCTAGTGCTCTTCTCCATATTTAGCTTTCAAGATTATAATTTTACAATTAAAATTATTTGATTAATGAAAACGTTACGTCACATAACGTAACTTACCTCATATAATGTAACTTACGTCACGTAACGGAACTTACGTCACGTAACGTAACTTACGTCACGTAACGTAACTTACGTCACATAATGTAACTTACGTCACATAATGTAACTTACGTGAAAGTTTTCGGTTCATCTTTAAGTAAGGATGTTTGAATACACGCGTTGCAAATTTACGAGAATGAAAACCAAATTTTAATTAATAATTTTTACATTTAGAATGGTTCAACGCACAATTCCTGTTTTGAGGTCAGCACCCTGGATGATAGGTATTATAAATTCAATAAAAATATCTAATTTCGACTTTCTCTTACTTTCTAATAATATCTAAGGAAATTAAAAACAAATTGTAATTTAGTGAATTATATAATAATTTTATTTAAAATCTTTTTTTTATAGTAAATTATGGATAATTTTCTGGGAGTTGGGGTAGTGGTAAGGCCCCAAGGTCAAATTTTGGCCACCCCGAAGAAGTGTTTAATAGCCGCAGTGCTCGACCCCCTAGCCATTTAAAAAAAGAGTTTTTAGTGAAATATACTAAATTACTAAATACTCCTATACTGATATTTTGAAATAGCTTTGTTAGTTGAATATGAAAAATTATTTAATTTACTTGGATTTATAGACAAATTCCAAAAGAAAGATTTTTTTAGTCAACTTTGAAAATAAGTTCTATCTTGAAATTTTGGGAATAGTTTTAATGGAATACCAAAAAAAATTTGATATTATGACATTTTTTTTTGTAAAATAATTTCGTTAAAATTCTAGAAATTGTTTTTGGGGAAATATTTTAGACGTTATCTTGTAGTGAAATATTTTAGACGTTATCTTGTAGTGAAATATTTTAGACGTTATCTTGTAGGGAAATATTTTAGACGTTATCTTGTAGTGAAATGTCAAAAAGAATTACAATATTCAAGAAGTTTCTAAGCCAAATATGAAAAAATAAAGTCAATAAGATAATACAGTAATAACCAGAAAACTTTGAAATAGAAAGACAACTTTTATAGAGTCAAGTTATGAAATTTAAAAAGTCTGCAATGAACCTGAGACACAGCAAATGTACAGTGTAAATACAAGACCCATTTTTACTAAATTACTGATTTAATAAGTGTCTAGAGTAAAACTTTGCTTTATAACAACATAAAAAAACACTTAAGGAAACCCTAAACTAAGATATCGGTATGTACTGCGGTGATCTGTAGTACAATTGACGGTACACTGACGGTACATTAACTGAATAACTAGTGGGTTTGAGCAGTAGGCGTGTCAAAAAAAACATACTTTATTTAGATATTTTGAGATAGAAAAGTGGGGAGCAGATCTAGAAAATCTTGTTCCAGATTTATCCACTACAAGTAAGATTCAGGGACCTAAACATTTTTTTATATCTCAATTGAACATGGGCCAGTCAGAAATAATTTTTATAGAATTAACTCCACCAACATGAACCCCCTCTATTGATAATTTAGGAACATGTCCGTCCACTATAGATGGCAGCACTCCACGCCTTTCTTCCCCACACTAACCCCCTCTATTGATAATTTAGGAACATGTCTGTCCACTATAGATGCCAGCAGTCTCTACAATAAACCCTCTATAAGTAATTTAGAAATTTGCCCAGCACTCCCCCCCCTTTCTCCCTACACGAACCTCCTTTATTAATAATTTTGGAACATGTGCGTCAACTATACAGCTGGCAGCAGTCACTAACCCCTCTATAAGTAATTTAGGAACATGTCCGTCCACTATAGATTGCAGCACTCCCAGACTTTCTCCCTAAGCTAACCCCCTCTATTGATAATTTAGGAACATGTCCGTCAACTATAGATGGCAGCAGTCTCTACACTAACCCCTCTACAAGTAATTTAGAAACATGCCCGTCCACCATAGATGGCAGCACTCTCCGCCTTTCTCCCCACACTAACCCCCTCTATTAATAATTTAGGAACATGTCTGTCCACTATAGATTGCAGCACTCCCAGGCTTTCTCCCGAAGCTAACCCCCTCTATTGATAATTTAGGTACATGTCCGTCAACTATGGATGGCAGCAATCTCTACACTAACCCCTCTATAAGTAATTTAGAAACATGCCCGTCCACCACAGATGGTCGCACTCCCCGCCTTTCTCCCTACACTAACGCCATCTATTGATAATTTAGGAACATGTCCGTCAACTATAGATGGCAGCACTCCCCGCCTTTCTCCCCACACTAACCCCCTCTATTGATAATTTAGGAACATGTCCGTCCCCGCCTTTCTCCCCACACTAACCCCCTCTATTGATAATTTAGGAACATGTCCGTCAACTATAGATGGCAGCACCCCTGCATGTAAACCCTCTGATTATGATATTTGGTGGCCATATCCAGACATGCGAGGTACATCTTCCAAAAATAGAAAATAGAGAATTTTCTTATCAAAAATATTATTTTCAGGCAATGTTGAAACCAGCTCCTGTAATAATATCAAGTCAGTTAATACTTATATATTTACTTTTCAACCGTACACTGTACAGCAATTAAAAAATGGCATGGTAGTAAAGTTGTACGACGAGCTACAAATTATGGAAAAATTCTGTCCACATTGAAAAGAACTGTACGCGTGATTTCTAGTGACCGTCCCTCCATGCAAAGATTAATGTTTTATATTTAGAAAAACTTATTGTTTTTTATCGCGATTTCACTAAAAAGTGGTTTTACAACTAAAATGACACTATTTTACGCCTTATTAATCAGATAAAGGTTTCTAGGGTACCATTGTGAATCGGGCGTTGCCATTTTTGCATGGAGGGTCACTTGAAATTTTGCTTAAAGTCCCTTAAAGTAAACAATTAGATTCTTTAATGCAAATATTTTGTATGGTAAAGTGAGTTTGAAAGATTAGATTATTACCAAGCCTATAAAATATAAGCAGAGTAGAGAACGAATCAATTCAAAATAATTAAGATGAGTTAAAATCATACTTTTTTCGTTGCTTGAAATTAAACTGATTCTGTACTTCTGCGGCTTGACCAATCAGAGGTTAGATAATCCATGCGCTCAATGGACAAATTCATTATTTCCAAATGTGCACCATTCAAAATTTTCAACCATAACAAATTTTTTGTCATTTATTCAGAGGATTTACTGGAGAATATTTCCCCTCCCTTCTAGAGAATGAAATTGAAAATGATCTTAAGATTTACGCCAATGACATCTGTGGAACCATGACTTTAACATACTCAGGTAGGAAAGGAAATAAGAACATAGACAGGGGTTGAAGGGGCTGTAAGCGTAATTTCAAGGATAAAAGCGTAATTTCAAGGATAAGAGCGTAATTTCAAGGATACAAGCGTAATTTCAATTGGAAACAATTGCGTAATTTCAAGGATAAAAGCGTAATTTCAAGGATACAAGCGTAATTTCAAGGATAAAAGCTTAATTTCAAGGATAAAAGCGTAATTTCAAAGATAAAAGTGTAATTTCAAGGATGCAAGCGTAAATACAAGCGTAATTTCAAGGATAAAAGCTTAATTTCAAGGATAAAAGCGTAATTTCAAGGATAAAAGCGTAATTTCAAGGATAAAAGCGTAATTTCAAGGATAAAAGCGTAATTTCAAATGGCCTTATATGCAAAGATGGCAATCATGGCTTTGCAATCTTCACCGGGTACCATTGAAATCTTTTTCAGGTCAACAATCTGGAAGATATCCCTGCAAACATTTAGTCGCTGACAAACCGATGGCGAGCATATATAGTATTTCATTCTAATTATTCCTTATTTTTTCCTGTTAAGACTAAAAAACTTTCAAAATTATTAACATGGAAAACTATTTCATACTATTTGAGCAGACAAAGCTTTTAAGGATACCATTGTGGATCGGGCGTTGTCATCTTTGCACAGAGGGTGGCTTAAAATTATGCTTACAGTCCCTTTAAACTTAAAAAAAGATTTGACTGTTAAGGTATTTGAAAAAAAAACAGTTTTTGTTATTTATTCCCCGCAGATCTAACAGTTCGGCACTTATATCAACAACCTGTGAACTTTGATCACAATTTAACTTATTAAAGACAT